GGAGAGGCCACAGGCAGGCGTGTCTCGTAACGGAGCGGGAAAATCCCCCCCCGCGCGTCAGCTGGGAGTCCGCGGAGGCCTTCGGAAGGGCTGTTAAAATGCGATAGTCGCCGCGCAAAGAAATGGAGGGTTACGTTTGGGTGCGCGGCAACGGTTTCTGAGAGGGAATCCGTTTCTGAGAGGAAAACGGTTTGTGACAGGCCAGGGGTTAGCCCGGCTCACCTGCTGGGTGGACAAACCGCGGTCACCGTGAGCGGTGATACTGGTGGTGTATATGTTAAGTACCAATTAGGCAGTGCTCCCTTTTAAATTGAAGGCTGCTGCCTTTTTCTTCTTTTTTAATAGTTCGGGAACCAGGACGTCACAGAAAATACATTTCTCGCACTGAAAGGGTAGATGAAAGATCTCCCCTCCCCTCCCCCCAAGGCAAAGTCTGCAGGAAGGGGACCACACTAACTGTCAGGTACTGGATTTCCCCCAAGGTAATGGAACTGGCTATAAAATCCAATAGCAATTGTCTTGTTAACACATGGAGTAACCGGATCAGTCACTAGCCATCTACTACCAGACTTGCCAGTATTTGGGCATGAATCTGGCAGTCGCTGAAACACGGGATTTTTTGGCGCCTCTGCGTACGAGCAGTGGTTTGTCACAAAGAGAATTAAAAGCCACAATGCTATAGGCAAAAGGCCAAAATCTTGATTAGTCTATCAAGCCCTTTGGTCATAACCTTTAGGTAACAGAGGAGATGGGATTGAAAATCCAGTTTCAACTGGCTCCTAGAGCCTCATTATTAATTGTTCTGCCTACCATATGAATATGTACAAAATCAAAGGTTGCAAGAAACGGAGGCTTTTAACCAAAAAGATTATATTTAAAAAAAAGAAAAAAGTCTTCAGGAAAGCTTTACATAAGACTAAGGCACGCAGGGCCAAAGAACAAAGGAGGCTCTAGCCTTAAAGACGGGCAGACAAAATTGGCTGAAAATAAATTTTGCCCAGGAACCAGAAAAATTTACAAAAGGTTGCATGGAATATTTAATATTTGTGCAGAATAGATACATTTTTGGAGCAGAAGGT